CCTCTAGCTTACGCGGAACCGGCAAGACATGGTCATCAAAGGATGGCTATGTCTCAAGAGAGTTACGGGTGTTGTAAATAAGAAAAAAAAAATTATCAGCTATTAGACCTTCAGACTTAAAATTTAACAAATATGGGTTTTTTTGTTCAGCTTAGATATGCAAAAAGCTTTTTTTTTTATTTGCAATTCACGTAAAATTAACCCATTAAAAACTTCTTTATCCTTCAACCTGTATTGTTTAATTTTTCAATTCACCCGTGCGAAGAACGGGTATACCAGCCAGTGTATATATATTATAGCGCCTTAAAAGTATAAGGGACTGCATTTATTCGTCTTTTGCTATTATTTAAATAATGAAAGACAAATTAATTTTGCGAAAAATTCATATTAAAACCCAATAAATCTTAAACTGATGTAAATAAAATTTAATTTGCGGACTACCGCACATCAAATATAATTATAAATGAATTTTAGGAAGGAAAGTATAGTATTTTAAAGTTTTTATCACTCTCTCACGAGCATAAGAAGTTTTTTCACTTATTTTTTTAAATTAAAATCACATTTTTAAAGAAAACAATTTATTTATTGATACCTGCGTGTCTTAATAATGAATCAATCTAAAAACTTCTTATTTCAAAAATAAAATCACCTGTAAATCTTCTTATTTCAAACTACCGTAAAATCCGGCGTATAAGGCGTACTTTTAACACAAAAATTACGATCGAAACTTATGGGTGCACGTTATATGCCGGGTATAAAAACGTTAGCTTAAAAAAAGATGTGTGTTCATAAAGAAAGTAAGAATTCTATATAAATCGAAATGCTCGATTCATTATGTATGGTGGATATGACCCTCGGCTTGTAACCGAGAGGGTTCGAATCCCGAGTAAGGCACGGTTGTATCTTCTTCGGGAAAAAAAGTCGTTTGATTGAATATTAACGTTGCACTGTTCAGCTACACGAGGGCTTTTGGCGACGGACCACGTAATTTTGAACCATGGTTAAGTGACTTGGACGACACCTCATCTGGCACCCCCCTCTCCTAACTACCACACCACACCAACGGGAGGACGTTTCAGCTCTCGGCAGATTTAACGTGCATCGCTGCCCTACACGGCGGGTCTTTAGTGGTACTGGGCTCGAACTCGTGAGAAGGCATGCCTCGATCCGATACCTATACCACTCGGCTACCGAAGCCACGAAAAAAAAGTCGGACTTTCGGAAAGTCCGGACCCGTCTCGAATGGAAAGCAGTGCACTCCTTCTCTAATAATGCTGGAATCATCATTTATAATAAATGTCTATATTCTTCTGTTTGTATTGCATGTTTCTTTTTCTTCCACTTATATTTTTTAAGTATCCCAGGATAAAAACATACCGCAACAACGACATATGTGAATTTAAAGAGTTGTAATTCTAGAAATATACTATATTTATTTACAAGCCTGGGATAATACCTCGAATAAATAACTTCAAAGCATAAGATAAGTTCGTTTCAGGTTTCTTCGTAAAAAAAAGGATGGGCGTTATACGCGGCGAATATATCTCAAAATTAAAAAAATATAGCTTGAAAGTATAGGTGCGTGTTATACGCCGGATTTTACAGTACGTTTCGAAAAAATATGGTTCCAATAGTAATACAGATTCATTAACTCACCACTAGATGGCGCTCTATTGCACTGAAAAGTTTAATTAAAAGTAAGTGATTAATTGAGGGGATATAAGGTCTGCAATTATAAGATAATTATATTTTCATCTAGAACACACAATTATACAAAACTTCTCAATTCTAACTCACCATTAAAAGCAAGTAAAAAATCTAATTCGATTCCATTTTTGATAAAACTGATTTCTTGATTGATTGTTCCTCAATAGCGCACTCTCAAGTATTTCTTTGAAAAAAAAAAATTCAAAATTTTATGTAGTGGATGTTCCTTCCCAAAATTTTTGAAATAACTTAATTAGATCGCCTGGCATTTTTACTTTTATTCGCGGCCATTTTCATGATATTTTTCGCAAAGAGATTAAGAGATTTTTGAAATAACTTAATTAAATCGCGTGGTATTTTCACTTTTATTTGAGGCCATTTTCGTGATATTTTTCGAAAAAAATATGCGTTTTTTAAACATATTAGAATTGGTTTGAAATAAAGAGCAGAGTGCGGCAGTGGAAGCGTGCTGGGTCCATAACCCAGAGGTCTGTGGATCAAAACCACGATCTGCTATAAATGTTTTGGAATTTTCTTTGAAAAATAATATTGAAAATTTTATATAGTAAATATGCCTTGCAAAAAAGCAGAGTGGCGAAGTGGAAGCACAATGGGCCCATAACGGAGAGGTCCGTGAATCAAAACTACGCTCTGCTGTAAATATTTTGGAATTTTTCTTTGAAAAAAAAATGAAAAATTTTATGTTGTACATATGCCTTGCAAAATTTTTTAAATAAACTAATTACAAAGCGTGATATTTTCTCTTTTATGCCAGGCACTTCTCTTGAAAATTTTTTGGAAAGTGATGCGTTTTTTAAAAATATTAGAATTGGTTAGAAATCGAGAGCAGAGTGGCGAAGTGGATGGGTAATGAGCCCATAACCCAGAGGTCCGTGAATCAAAAGCACGCTCTGCTATCCTTATTTTGGAATTTTCTTTGAAAAATAATATTGAATATTTTATGTAGTACATATGCCTTGCAAAATTTCTTAAATAACTTAATTAGATCGCATAATATTTTGAACTTTTATTTGAGGTCATTTTCGGCCGCGGTAGCCGAATTGCATAGGTATCGGATCGTGGCTGGCCTTGTCACGAGTTCAAGCCCAGTACCACTAAAGACCCGCCGTGTAGGGCAGCGGTGCACGTTAAATCTGTCGAGAGCTGAAACGTCCTCCCGTTGGTGTGGTGTGGTAGTTAGGAGAGGGAGTGCCAGCTCAGGTGTCGTCCACGTCGCTTGACCATGGTTCAAAATTACGTGGTCTATCGCCAAAGGCCCTAGTGTAGCTGAACAGTGCGACGTTAATATTCAATCAATCAATCATTGAGGCCATTTTCGTGATCTTTTTCGAGAAATGATGCGTTTTTTAAAGATATTAGAATTGGTTTTAAATCGAGAGCAGAGTGGCGCAGTGGAAGCGTGCTGGGCCCATTACCCAGAGGTCCGTGGATCGAAACCACGCTCTACTATATATATTTTAGAATTTTCTTTGAAAAATATTACTGAAAATTTTATGTAGAACATATGCCTTGCAGAATAATTTAAATTACTCTTAATTAGATCGCGTGATCTTTTGCACTTTTATTTGGGGCTATTTTCGTGATATTTTTCAAAAAGTGATGCGTTTTTTATAGATATTAGAATTCGTTTTAAATCGAGAGCAGAGTGGCGCAGTGGAAGCGTGCTAGGCCTCTAACCCAGAGGTCCGTTGATCGAAACCATGCTCTACATTAAATATTTTGGAATATTTCCTTCCAAAACAAAATTGAAAATTTTATGTAGTACATATGCCTTGCAAAATTTTTTAAATACACAAATTGCAACGCGTGATATTTTCTCTTTTATGCCAGGCACTTCTCTTGCAAATTTTTTTGGAAAGTGAGTCGTTTTTTAAAGATATTAGAATTGGTTTAAAGTCGAGAGCAGCGTGGCGCAGTGTAGGCGTGCTGGGCCCATAAACCAGATGTCCGTGGATCGAAACCACGCTCTGCTATAAGTTGTGATATGGTCGATCTTCGTTGACCATATCGTGGGGTTTCAGCGTAAGTTAGAGGTGTGGGATTCTCGAAATGAAGAGACATTTTAGAATTCTTAATATGACTTTTATTAAGAATTTAACTTAAATTACTTATATATCGAACAAACTTATATTAAGTGAGAATAAACCACAAAACACGTAGCCATAATTAACACAGATCGCGCAATTGGATCACTTATCTATATAATTATATTATATCCGCCTACTCTCAATCTTAATAATATATTCGCATTCAGAATATAATCTCCTACCTTGATTTCTATAAGCAACGGTCCAATCCACTTCAGATATTCATCTAAGCTGGCGTACAATGGTATGTACCTTGGATGAATGGCGAGATTTTCGTGATTCTTAGGTAAGCAGTCAATTTACACTTCTATCTTTTCTGAACTGAACTTTCTCTAAATTACCCTCTCGCTTACTAAAATTTCTGTCCTTTTAAAGGTTATCTTATTTGCATCTATCCTTCGTTTCACTTCTTGGATTTGGGTTGGAAAAGATTTGCCATTAATCGTGGCCGTCATAGAACACAGAGGTTATGTTAGAGAAAGGACGCGTGAGACGTCACAAAGTATTATAGAATTTTTCATTGAAAAACAAAATGGAAAATTTTATGTAGTACTTATGCCTTCCCAAAATTTTTTAAATAACTTACTTAGATCGCATGATATTTTGCACTTTTATTCGAGGCCATTTTTGTGATCTTTTTCGAAAAGTGATCCGTTTTTTAAAGATATTAGAATTGGTTTTAAATCGAGAGCAGAGTGGCGCAGTGGAAGCGTGCTGGGCCCCATAACCCAGAGGTCCGTTGATCGAAACCACGCTCTGCTATACTTGGAAAACTTCTGTGTGCGCTACTGCAAATATGTGATCATCGTTGTGTTTACTTCGAGCGCATTGCCAAGAGCATAAACACATTACATTTTTATTAGCAAATTATAAGAACTTTTGTAGCTGTATATTTGTTTTTTACAAATCCTTATTTTTTTTTATTAGCTTTTAATTAATTTTTTTTCTAGTTTCATTTAGAGTAATTACAAAAAGGGAAATATTAAATTAGAAATAGTTTCCTAAACAAAAAACCACATACAAATTTAAAAACAGTAACTTTATTTGTATCAATTTAAATCACAATATAAAGAATTATTAAATAAATTTCAGATCTATTTTTAATTATAGATATATACAGGAAAATAATTATGTATATAAAAATGGGTTACACAATTTATTATGCTGTTGGTCAGTTACTAATTCTTTGCTTAAATTTGTGACACTTTTTCTCCTAAAAGTAGTGATCCAATAACGCATTTGTTACAAACGTAGTTTAAATATGTTTTAAAACTTTATTGGCATCAAGCACATTAATAAACTAAAATTTGCTATGTGCGATAACAGCACAAAAAGTAACCATTAAATAAGTTGACAAAAATATTTTTTTGAAATTCATACATATGTGATTACAGATACATACATGAAATTAAATATTTTCATATAAATAGATTACACAGTTTATTTAGCTGTTTGTCAGTTACTTTTCATTGCTTAAAAGTTTTCTATATCTTCCCTCCAACAGTAGTGATTCAATTATGCATTGTTACAAATGTGGATTAAATATGCAGTAAAACTTTTTATTTGTTCCCTGCACAGTAATAAACCAAAATTCACTCTCTGCAATTACAGCATTTAAAATTACCAAAAAGTGAATTTTCCATAAATAAGAGTATAATCAGTTATCGTCAAATAAGTTAAGGTATCCGATTATGTTCGGAACCATTATTTTGCAAAAGCGTATAAATGGATAATATTTATGATATTTCGTGTCACTTAGATTGGAAAATGTAAATAAAATTGTTTTAAGAATAGTATTACAATAAAAAATTATTTAAGTGCAATATTTTGACAAAAAATTAACATAGAATGGCCCATTTTCAAAATATTCTCCTTTCGTGAAAAATGCTTCTATTATAATAATATTTTGCCTGTCTATAGCTCAGACCTCTGTACAGAGACTCAACTAGAATTTTTGAAATATATAACTTAGAAGTGGGTTTATCCATGTTTTACGACAACAGAGGGGAGCAATTTTAAGAAAAAAGAACGCCAATAATTATTTCAACTGGTGGTAACTCTGAAAATAATGTGAATTTTTCAAAAATTCGAGTTGAGCCTCTGTAAAAAGGTCCGAGCTATATACGGATAAAATATTATTATAATAGAAGCATTTTTCACAAAAGGAGAACATTTTGAAAAAAGATTATTCTAATTTAATTTTTTGCCAAAATATTGTATTTAAATATTTTTATTTTTTGTCAAAATGTCCTTTAAACAATTTTATACATGTATTCTAATCTAAGTGACACTAAATATCATTAAAATTATTCATTCATGCGGCTTTTTAAAATCACGGTTCCGAACGTAGTCGGATACCTTAAAAATATTTTTTTAGATAAATCATACATATATAAAAGGATAAATATATACATAAAATAAATATTTAGAGAGAGAGAAAAATAATACACTCACATACATAAAAATAATTTAATTTATTTAGGAAATAAAATATGTATTTTTCTTTTCTTTGTTCCAACTTTTTTAATGGCATTTTTTTCTTACAGTAGTTATGTAATAATGAATTTGTTGAAGTGTGAATAATATGCTTTGAAAATAGTTCAGAAGCCTGATCATTATTACAAGGTTCATCATATAAAAAAAATTAATTTGAATTTATCAAGCTAATCGATGTTTCTGAGGCATTTTAAGTTGATTATTTTTTTTAAGGAACATATTTTCATAATCATTAGAAAGAAGTTTCTGAAACAGGGGAGCACACAAGGGGGGGGGGGTCCTAGGAGTCCGGACCCCCCCAAAGCCATCGATTTTTTTTTGATTGA